TCACAAATTTCCAACGGCCCTCTACGGGCTTTGCTATTCACAAAAATTTTCAACATCCCAAACAAATTACAGCACCTTTACAGCGATTTTCTAACAGTATACCTTGCCATCCGACATTTTCGCCATCCCCTCGGAAGTCAGCAACTAACGCAAACATTCAATATAAACGATCTTCAATAAAACTTCAACGATTACCTCATATAGTAAGGAGAGTTCACTGACAGAAACTAGTCCCGTAAAACTATTCAAGAACCGAGTACAGCGCACAAACCTTTGTTTGGAATCAAGGAAAGCATTTCATCACCTTTCAACCACGAAGACCAGTGGGATCACTGGAAAGAGAAAGAAAGCATGAACAACCTCAAACAAGAAAAACGTTCATAGTGGTGAGGGCGGTCACGTGGGTTTGATACCGAAGGAATTCTGGACACTTGATTAACCGTGGCCTTATACTGTTCTGTGCAAACTGAACTGAGCTGAACCTTGGTAATGAACTATGTCCGTTGTGGGGCACAGTTCTGAATCAGATGTGCCAAATACTCTATTGAATTTTTGACTTGGACGATGGCTCCACCCGCAATAAGTATATAGATCAGATGCGCGTAAAAACCCAGTATTCTCATGTTCTAACTCAATCATTTCCGAGTCTATCCCGTAGAAGAATCACTTGAGTGAAATACAGGGAAATAGAACTATAAGGTTCGAATGATTATGCAAAATGCCACGTACCAGTTTCAGCAGTCCCAAGCTTTATTCAAACTGCCTTAAACCGAGATTATTTATTTATCAGATGATCGATCATATTCATGCAGGAACAGGACGCGCAATACAGTTCGACTTCGTGTTCTGATTGTGGTTGTGTTCACGCCAGGGTAAAGTTCTTCTGCGTGGGGTGCGACTAGTTGGAAGTACTATTGCAACAGTGTACATATCATTGTATGAGGAATGAATGAAGTGAGAAACACCATAGTCATCCATGAAAAGGGCCAATTTAAACCTTGGGAAGAGTGTCAAACCACCAAAGGCTCCATTTTCCGCAAGATTAGTTATGCACTCACGTTCCCCTGTTTTCGCTTCATCTACGGTTCGTGATATCTATCTATATGACTTTGTTCAAACTTTCTTTTGCTAGATAGTGGACCTGTGATCGGAATTTCATTAACAATTCGTCTGTGCCCTTGAGTATCAATATTTCAGTACATGTGCTTGTCTTTTTTATTGCCTGCTAGTCATAGATATGCTATTCTAAATTTAAAAATCCAAACAATCTACTGATACTACTTGCAAGTAGGCTAGATTGATACACGAAAGAGATAGATAAAAGATATCGATTTCGCACAAAATTAGATTCATTTCTAAAAACGAGAACAAGGACAAAATTCCTCTCGAATGCTTTTCTTTTAACTTGTGCAACTTTTATCCACAATTCGATCAGTTCAATAACTCCGTGAAAAACCTATTACTCATAGATGGATATAACGTGCTATATATTGAAATTTTCTTCAAATAAAGGGAACAGCCTAGGCACAAACTGCGTTTTAAATGGCTAATGGCTTGTGGTTAGTGAAGAACGGAATGTTCATTAAATTTAATTATTGCAAAACCATCTCAATTTTGGGTGATTCAGCTGACATATGAGCATCCCGTGAGTAGAGCTTGTTTCGAGAACAGAGATAAACATTGATGTGTCTGCGGTGGTGTTGGTTGTACGAAAGAAGGAAGCGATCCACGATCAACATTTTCTGTTTGGGCTTCCTTCACACTCACTTATGGCTTTCATTGTGACATTGGTCTTTTTCTATGCTTGTGTTTTGCTAAATCCGATCTTCCACTCATCCGGATATGTATATATGAGTCTTGGTTCGGATCGAAATGTTACATTATGTACTACCTATTAGCGCTTGCCTTTTCCTTCTGAATACACATGTATTTAAATCATACTTGAAATTATTTAGTACCGTTATTCCTTTTAGTCATGAAGCAATAGTTGCCATTGAATTGATAAATAAAGCTAGATCGATAAACCTCTCACTGATTCTGAGGAATACCTGTAAGACGGGCATAATGGGACCGTCTCTGAAGCAGTTGATCCTTATAGGACTTCAAGGGACTGGCGGAATGAGATTGCAAACCTCCTCAGGGTTGCACATGGTCAGCTAGATACGAGAAGTATAATACACGTTGTGCACCAGTTCTTCCTAGTTGTAAAAAGTAGCAGAGTGATTTACGAAGGAGGGTAAGGGAGAGAGAGAGAGAGTCAGGCTCTCCAAATATTCTACGTAATAGGCAAATTGAACTGGATGACAAAATAGAAAAAAAAAACATATTTAAAGAAAAGTGTCATATTTCATCCTGTTCGAGGTCACTTTCAGCAACACTGCTGCTACAAAAATTGACCCAAATGCATTTATTACATTTTTGTCGAAATTCGCAGGGCAAATCAGTCTAACTGTGATCTAGGAGATTCGCAATTAATCGAATCAGACCGGTACACCCATATTCAGACATTATTTTCAACGGGACCGGTCCACCATAAACTTAACACATGTCCACACTAACCCAGACTGACAAAGCACATATATTCCAGTGGTAAGATATGCATTGGAATGGGTACGAATCACAAGTCTCCGATGAAATGAGTTTCATAACTCCTCCCTTCCATCCACCCCAGGATCCGAGAGACTCAGTCTCATCAGTAAGCTCGACCTGTTCCACAAGTGATACCACTACATTTTATCCTTTAAACACACACCTGACTGTGCAACGACGCTTATACGAGCTGTAGTCATCGTGACGTCTAGTCCACCTGGATCATGAATTGACAAGGCCCCCTTTGCATATCATACGACCTAACTTCACTTCTAAGGTGGCATTTTTTGGCATCAGGTGAGTTTCTTGATCCTTAATGAGCAGTACCTCAAATGTTTCAAATATATATCGTAAATGTTCATGAAAAAAAATAAACCAGTACTTGGATTTATGAAGCCCCCTCTAGTACTGACCACAGTTACAGATCAATAGCTAGCCGGTAACAATAACCACCGACCGGGATCGGGTGGTAAAAATCACCAGATTATCACCCCGGAGGAGGTGTGTGTTGGAATCCCATCATCATCACCGCCGCCGCCGCCTGCTTTTCCCCCATTGTGTGCTGTACGGCAGCCCCTTGGATTGGTTGCTTCCTCTTTGCGGAAAATTGCATCATTATGATTATTATCAACAAAAGGAAGTAAAAATGAAAAAAATATTCCCTGTCAGTTACTGCTTCGTAGATTGCATCTTCCAAATCAAAATTTATGTCATTACTGCCTTGTGTATTGGAGTTCCAATCTAGCAGAGTCTAATTGATTTCGTCGACAACAGTTATTAGGATATATCATCATGAATATGTTGAAAATACTTTCAGTCTCACGGGGACTGGAAAAACGTTAGTTTTTTTTTGGTGAACATGTAGACGCGGATGGTGATTGAAATTGGGTCCCATTGGTGTCCGAATAATGACTTCCAACGAAATAGTTTTCATCTGCCAAAATTTCTATTACCTATCCTATAATGCGCTTATTGCGGACACTCAATTTCCGCGTCAGCAAATGATAATTCAGAAATTACCGTTGGACATAGTCAGGAGCGACCGGTCCACATTTTAGAATCAATGTTAATTCTTCTCATACCGTGAGACATTTTTACCACATCGGGACCAAATGATGTTAGGAGTGTATCGAAAAATCGATGTGTCATGTGTTGTTTTATTGTGAATGTTAATGTTATAGTGTTAATAAGACAGTGATGTCATTTGAGTCATTTGATTGTAAAAACCTGCCTTG